TTTTGGTTGGCCAAAATTTGTCAGGTCATTGCATCTTTAAGGGATGAAGACTTGTTTAATTTGCTTAATTTGAAGGTCATTTGTTTGCTCAAACATAGGATATTGCTGCTTGAAGTTCTTAATTGGATAGTTTAAGTGGTCAAGATATTCTAGTCAGCGTCATTTAGATTGATGTGTATTACACCGTGTGATTCTAAAAGGTCCAAACTATAAGGTCCAAATTGATTACGCTTGCTGCTCTCTTTCATTTACCTTTTAAAGACATTATAAAAACAGTACACTAGTCTCTGTCTATCCTTGGACTTTAGCTTGGCCAAACTTATTAGTTATTTTAATGAAGAGGTGTTCAAAAGGGCAGCCCAATGCACAAAACATCCCGCGTTCATGCAGGATCCGGGGAAGGGCCGCATCTCAAGGGGTGTGATGTAGACAGCCTACCCTGATGCAAGCATCGGTGGCTGATTCCACGGCTTGAACCCGTGACCTATAAGTCATACGGAGACAACTTTACCATTGCTCCAAGGCTCCCCTTCTTAATGAAAAGGTGTTCAACTTGCTTAATTTGAAAGTCATTAAGTTTGCACAAATGCAGGATATTGCCTCTTGAAGATCATAATTGGATGATTTAAGTGGTCAAGATACTCCTACTCAGCAGCCCCTAGGGGTTAGTCAATTGGCAAAATTTGAGTGACTTGTGTCTTAGGTCACAGGTTCGAGCCTTGTGCCAAACAAATTAACTCGGGTGTTCAAGTAGAGAAGGGCAGAGGAACGAGCCCATTATCCCCGAGTTTTGGAGGCTGCAGTTGTCCCAAAAGGTCGGCTGCAGATGGATTTCTCGGTCATTAAAAAAAAGAAGATATTTCTACTCAGCATCAATTAGATCAGTGCGGTTCTAAAGGTCAAAAATATCTTAATTTAGTTGAAGTTCCACAACTTTGTGGCCTTTGTTATTTACTAGTTGATGTAATTGCTTATCTTTTGAGTGGAGGTCTATTGGTTGTATGTGTTGCATCATAGTTCATTCACATTCCTGTGAGTTGCACGTGCCAGTCCTATCTGGCTGACAAAGTTGCATAAATTCAGGTGCCTATGATCTGCTCAAGTATCCAGATCATTTGATTGGCTGATATGTGCAGTCCTTGGCGGTTTTATTTTCTAACTAACTTAGAAATGTCTATTCTTAGATTTTTTTTTGGGGCCTGGTAAATAACAAAAAGATTCCTTTTTAAAAAAAAATATTTTTCCTCTTCACAAAGTAATCAACTTTCTGCAGGAGTTAATAGGGCCTTATTGGTCTCTTCGTGCTGCCCTGGGTCCTGTCTTGGAAACTCTTGTACTGCTTGACCGATTGTTGCTCCTCCAGGAGTATGGCAATGATCTGGAAGCAAGCCTCTTACCTGTTTTTAGTCCTGTATTATCTCCGAGGAATATGGCTATCATAGCTAAGAAAATTAGAAAGTAGAAAATCTTCCAAAGTCAGCCTCAATGTGATTCAACATACTGTGACCAAGAGAAAAGTTTTGGGGCCAGGAACAAGCTATTTACTGGGTACTGGTGGAAGGAAGTGATTGTGTTGAAACTGTATTATATTTCTCCACTTTGAGAATGGAAGCGTGGAATACTTGTGTTGACAAGCGTCAGTGGATGACAATATCTAATTGTGGCTTTCTTGGTGTTTGTATTATTATTTTAATTTATTTACAGGTATTTGTTTTGCAAGGTGTTGGCTGAAAGATTCTCTTTATACACATTTGAGCTCAAGTTAGTCTACTGTTTGTTCTCACTTCTTTGAGAAGGCAGCTAGGCAAGCCTTATGACCTATGTGATGGTTATCAATTGTGCCATTTTGTTTAATACGTGGATCAGACGTTGCAGCGTATTTCATAATAGGATTTGTTTAATATCAACCAGTTACCTCCTATAATCTTTATTGGTTTCAAGTTGTGTCCGCTCTATATTTTTGTGATTATCTTATGGACCTTGTGTTCACTTGTGTGTAGTGTAAGAAACTGTCTTCTTTTTACTAGTTGAGTAAAATATAAGCCGACCAGACATCATTGTCCTATGAAATATTCGAGGACAGTAGACAAATGAACATTGAGCGAACTTGCACGTTGATTACATTCTCTAATTGCATGCCATTCTTGTTTCCTAAATGGGATGTCAAGTTTGTCGCAGATAACTCAATTCTTAGAAGAGTGAAAATACTGTCTACAGGTAGATATAGATTTGTATCCCAGTTTTTTGTTTCCTATTATATGGCTTGTCAAACCTCGTTGGTTTAGTGAAGCGCGTTATCAGTGAGTGGAACTCTATTGGATTTTCTCACTTGCCTATGAGTTACTCCCAACATGCATTGAGGGAGTGTAACGGGGTCGATTGGACTGCAGAATATTCTGTTTTTTCGCCTCTTCTATTTCAGGTACTGTGATTGAGTGAGTGTGTACTTCACATGTCCGCGTGTGTCTAATGGCGAAGTCATGAATTTTGTTAAGAATGTTTAAAATTTAATATATATGTACAAATGTAGAAATTTTCATCAATATACACTATATATTTATTCGATGTAGGGTGTTCAATGACCATGTGAGAGGCTTTGTTGATAGCCTATATTAAGGCTGAAAATGAAGCTTAGTTCTTAAGTAAACTGGTGAGAAGCTTGGGATAAAGACTAGTTTGCCTAAGTGTAACAAACTACAAAGTGCAGTCATTGACCGTGATTGCCAGGACTAAAAAGAGTGTAGTGCTGGTCTTCCTGTTGGGATAATGACTTGTAAAAGCTAAGAAGATTTTTTCAGTTGAAATTGGATGAGTTTTATGGAGTGTTTATTGTAAGAACGTAACACATATGTTTTGGGTTTCTAGGTTTAGATGATGCTGGATTGAAGTTTTGTAAACATTGTTGATCATGCAGTTCTAATAGTTCTATATTAGATGTCATGTTCCCACTTGCTCCTCGTGAAGTGCATCTTTAGACTTAAGGGAGGGAAAGGAAATGACCATTTTATTCGTTATTAATATTGTAGCATAAAAATCTCACCGATTATTTGGTTATAACTAGAACTTGGCAAAAATAATCTTCTTAAATCTTTTGGTTGGAAAGAGTTTTACTCTTTTGTATAACAAAATGTGTATTTTTGAACTGACTAGAGCTGAATATACCAATGCTTATGTGGTTTATCTTTAGTTAATACTCGATGCACAAAGTCTTCTCGACTTGCGTATGTGTAATGATGCTGGAATGATGGAGACAGGCCTAATTGTATTTATCTTTAAACCTAACAATTCTGTCCCATTATCGAATCCTTCCTTACATTTTCTAATATTATTAGGAAATTGAACCGCAATCTGGGGTTGGTTAGAATATTTGAAACGATTTTTCCCTTATTTTGCGTTAAACAAACACCTTTTATATCAACGATAAGTTTGAAATAAGAAATGGCAAATGAACGGATTTGATTAAATTTGGACGGGTCAATATATGTCAAATCAATAGACGGGGTCATGATCCAACCAGCTTCAGAGTTTGCTCAAATCAATAAGGGTCAAATAACGGATCATAACATAATCCGTCCACTAATTTAATAAGTCATTTAGAGTTTCGGAATCAAGTCGAAGATTCGTATCTATGACCCAATCCGTTTAAACTTTACGAAATGGTTTAATTTTATCTACGTCTAGCTCAAATTAAATTACGTATTTACAATAAGAGTTTGTGTAGAGAGGATAGAATGAAAAGATCTGACGGTGCTCGCCGTCAAAGCTTGCAATTGTTCAGGAGACTTTTGATTTAGACATGAAGAAAATTGTGGAATATTTGATCGTAGTAAATGGGGCTAACAGGTGTCAACTTTAGGCGTGAACACACGTGAAGGTTTGAATAAATATTTGTCGTTTAGGACAGTTGTTAGCTCATTATTAGGTGGGACAAAATTAATCAGATATATCAGTAAGAATGATATTGAACTTCCATTAGTGGAGAGATATAGTTACTGTTTAGAACAGGATTACTGGAGAGGTTGCTTTCACAGGAAAAGGAAACCATTCAAAGAACTTGGTATAAGATACAAAAACTTGCATTTCCAACTTTTTAACAGTTATTGTCAAATATTTAACTCTTATGGGGTTGGGTTTACAGCAATTTTCGTTTTCAACATGTAGCTGTATGAAAATGGCGTGAATCTTATCAGGTGTTTGTTAATGAGGTCTATCTAGAATCCTTGTATCACACCTGGAATTTAAAGCTGAATCTAAACCTGTGATCTAGAACTATTTTTTAACCCACTTTGTCACTAAACTAGAATCTTCTCCTTTATCAAGAGAAATTACCAGTTTTTAAATTTTTACTTTATTTAGGCAATATAATTTTTCGATAAAAGAAATTTAATTGAACTCCTTTGCGACAAGGTAGCTCCGTCCTTGATTGCGGCTTTAGTGACAGAAAGGTGTATGGAGACAGTAATCCTAATGAACAGGGAATGATCAATTTATATAGAGTTTAAACTTTAATTAGGTATAACGTCCTTAAAGTAATTATTAACCGAGCGAACAAACGAAATTTGTTTGCTTTAAATAGGGTTATTATTACTTTTAGTACGCGTCAGAAACTATTTATGTTTGGTAGCCAAAGAAATGTATAAAACTTATATAATTTTTGTATATAATATGCAAAATGTATATATATACAAAAAATATATAAATTTTATATATTTTTTCGGTTATTATTTTTTTAGCAGTTATACAGTGTCATTTTTCCTATTAAAATAGTATAAATTATGAGGTTAGCTAATAAGACCACACGTATTTAATAAAGAGAAAATCTAGCAAGTCCTTACATTTGGGAGTTGGGACTACATAGGTTTAGACAATCTCGATAGAGTCGTCTGATCGTAAAGGATTTGGTATATTGTTATTGTCTCAAATTCATCCTTCTTTTGGATATTTATGACTATCATTCTCTCCATGCAAGATCCAATTCACATATACGTTTGAGGTTTTGCGTATTTCATAAGGAACTCTTTTTCTTGTTGAAGAAAAGAAACAATCTTTAGACTTTTCCAAGAAAAGTTAAGACGAGGACATATTCAACACTATTCTAACAAAACATTTTACCAAATCAACCGACGGATCTTTGACCCCCCTTCCCCCTCCCCCCCCCCC